ATCTCTCCCATTTTATACCAAGAGTCCATAATCTTCTTGGGCAGTCATCTTTCACCATTCCCCCCCCCCCTCCCTTCACTCTTTATCTTCCATCTATCAAACTCTAGTTAATTATGAGAACTTACCGTTTCCCCTTTTGACTTCCCTCCTACCATTCTGCTTGTTGTATGCTTCCTAGTGTTTATATTGTGGCAAGACTGAAAGAAACAAGTTGCTGGGTTCTAAATTTACTGTTGGAACATAGAGAAAGGAAGAAGCTTTAACTTATGGGGGAAGAATATTACTATGCAACGATAAATGATAATGACCTTATGTGTATTTACAAACAAGACCCGGTGTTTTATCTATTTCAGTCCTGTGAGACCTATTAATCTCAGATGGACCCACGAGTCCAATTGTGTTTTATTTTGATACATACCAATGTCTTGTTTATGTGCTAATAAAAAGGTATTTATCCAAAAAATAAATAAAAATAGATGTGCTTATTCCATTGAATTAACCAAATATCAATCTTTAGAATTCAGCCAAAATCAAACCATATTAATTTAAGCTTAGCATATTGATGGCTAGAGAGAATTCTGGGTAATACGGTTTATTGGCAGGTAGCAGGTTTTTGAATAGATGGGGTAAGGTGAAACCACTGAAAGATGAGAACGGGTAGGAGGGGCTCCTGCACTGAGAATAGCCGAATCAGCAATTTAACAGAAAGTCACTGCGTTTAAAACGAGCAAGAAGCAGAATAACTCAGCTTTGCAATTTGGTTTTAGACCTCATGCTCCGTGCTGCAGCCAGAGATTTATCGAACACAAATCTGACAAAGGACGTGGCTCGGGCCATGTTGGAGGAGGGTGGCAGACACATTACATTAAATATTGGGTATCAAACAAAGTCAATCTACTTACAACTATATTTGCACATACCACACACAATCCAAATATACATTTATATCAGCATTGTAAGTCTATATAGTGTTGAAGAAGATGTAGATGCAATATAGATAAACACCCCTATTATTTCTGGGAAGCTCCCATCCTACCTGAGCAGAATGCTCTCCCCGGCTGTTCCCACCTCCTATACCCTCCGATCCAGTACTAGCACCATATTTAGCATACCGCAATACAAAAATAAGGGGGCTCGATCATCATTTTCCTACAGAGCACCGCAATTATGGAATAACCTCAGGGACACAGTCAGATCTTAATTCAATCTCAAATCATTTAAGAGATCTATGGCAATATACCTCAGCACAGAATGCACCGGTCATGGTTGAATATATTAAATTTATATATGTGTATGTGTGTGAGTGTATATATATATATATATATATATATATATATATATATATATATATAGTTTGTATATTCGTAATATTGTAACAATGCAATGTTTGTGGACAAAGACCCAGGACATACTTGAAAACAAGAGAAATCTCAATGTATCCATCCTGGTAAAATATTTTATAAATAAATGTAAAAAATAAAAACTATATTCATTCATAATGGTAGACACGGCTAGCTTAGTGTTCTAGTAAATACGAACTTTAATTGCATCCGAATCTTTCATTCAGTGTAAGCTAAACATTTTCATAAACTTGTATCGTTGACATATTTATATTTGCAATTTGTATAGTGACGTCAAGGTCACCCAAATAAATCTCTAGTGATTTAACTTCTAATTGGCAGATAATTGAGCAGTGCAGGGGCATGATCTGTACACCAAAACTGCTTTATTAAGCTAAAGTTGTTTGGTGCCGATACTATTCCTTTAAGAAACTAAAATATTGCTTATCTTTGAAAATGTATGTACATTATAAGGTTAATGTTAGATGCTACTTTACTACAACGACTAGCTCAATATGAGGTCCCATAAAAATGCTGTATTAGATTTGACAACATGAGCTTACGTAGTGAAAAGTATTAGCAATGATGAATGAGAGGTCTATGCTAAGGGATCTAATTTATAAAGAACTCCGATCTTCAATGGACAAATATGACTGGAATTAGGAAGTTTTATTAATTATAATTTTACTTACCTTGCTTTTCTATCAGGTATGTTTTGGTATTTATACTGTGTGGCAGAACCAGCCACCTATTTGTATTAGAGATTGTTCTGTTCATAGTTGTGGCTTATCTGGTTCGACAATTGGGGTCCCCCGAACAGACTGGAGCTACATTGCTCGTATACCGAACCATCAACCGAACAGTTACATAGTAGTTACATAGTTACATAGCTGAAAAGAGACTTGCGTCCATCAAGTTCAGCCTTCCTCACATTTGTTTTTTGCTGTTGGACGACCTAGGGGAGTTGTGTGCCTCCAATTTACCTTATTCACACCTAGAAATCGCAAGGTTCTAGGCAGTCGTCGTTCGGATGACCGAACACGTGACGGCGGCCATCTTTGCCCACGAACACAGACAGCAGTGTTTGGTCCTCAAGTGCATGGAACTATAATCGGACACTCAATGGCGCGAACACCACTGAACTACCACCACTTCCTGTGTTCGGTTCAGTTCACCTGGAAAGAGCGGCATGCGTATGAAACAAACTACCGAACAAGGGGCACATAATCCCTTGCTACACGAATGGTTTCATTAGGTATTTTCTATGTTTTATACTCCTGTAAGAAGACCGGTCAAAGCCTAGTAATCTCTGAAACGGTTCTGACCGGTATGAACTTTACTCCAATGGCGTTCCGAAACCACCGAACGGATAGGAGGGATATTTTGACAAAGTGGGCACTCAGATCCCAGCTATTCGACAAAGTAACTTTTGGGGAGTTCAGAAGTATTAAAATGTATTTTTTACCATTTATAAATAGTGTATGTTTTCTGTACCTGGGAGATAATGTAAGCAAAGAGTTGTTCTTAATCATCTCCCAGGTACAGAGGAGGAGTTTGGAAAATGTTTATTTGTTGCATGTCTCTACTCAGGTCCACCTAGGGAAAACCCCTGGAATGTAAATTAAGAAACCCCCTTGCATGGAGAGTTGCATAAAAGCCAGCTGTGGCTGAATAAAAGTCAGTTGACTCCTAGAACTGTGTATTTTCCGGTTACTGGGGAAATTGGGATTTTATTGCTACACTGCGCTTCTCTTGGATGTTCTACAGTGTACCAGCGAAGATATGGATTTTAATATTGCAGCTCCGCTACATACTGGTTGAGAGGTTTGACATTTTTGCAGATTTTAATAAATATATTAAACCTTTTGTGTGTGAATTTTCTGAATGCTCGGTTTTGAAATACTGCAGCATGTGGGGCAGGAAGGTGAACTCATTACAAAAGGTTAGCAAGAATTAGCAATAGTGACCGTGTGATGCTCACGCTGATCAGCATTACGACAAAGTTAGTGTCACAAAAAATAGCTTCTTTGGAAAGGAAACAAAGAGATATGTCAACATTGACAACTAGGGGACTTATAGTTTCCCAAAAAATCTAGCAAAGGTACACACATGTGGAGCACTGCTGTATTTTGATACAAACCTGAGGTTTCAGAAGGCACACAAGGTCTGTGAAATTTGCCATCGAATAAAACAATGAAAATACCCTTTAACATGTCTTAAGGGGACACTATAGTCACCAGAGCAACTACAGCCTAATGTGAGTATAATCATTGCCTTCGGGAATTTTCGTGCAAACACTGCATTTTCAGATTAAAGGCAGAGTTTACATTGTCCCCTAGGGACACCACCAAGTGGCCAGTGGAGGTGCTTCCTGGCTCAGTGCTGCACAGTAAGCACCACTGACGTTCAGCGTCTACACGCTCTGCATGAAGACACTGAATTTTCCTCAAAGAGATGCATTGATACAATGAGGTTCTAATTGGCCAAAACAGCATTTGGCCCCGCCTCCTTGACGATTTCAGCCAATTCCCTTTGGGAAAAAAATGAAACCTCAGACACTGAAAAAGGAAGGGTGGCTGTTTAAAACAGCAAAGAAACCCTGACAGTACCTCCCCCTCAACGACTCCCCCCATTTCTGCTGGTGGGTCCGGGCTTCATGGGGAAGCGAGCGTGATAGGAACGAAGGAGGGATGGTGCATGGACATCAGAGGCTGGAACCCAGGAGCGTTCCTCTGGACCGTACCCTTTCCAGTGCACCAAGTATTGGATCTGTCCTCTGAAGACTCGTGAGTCAATGATGCTGCGTATTTCATATTCCTCATGATTGTCAACCGGAACAGGACGTGGACGTGGTACTGAGGTGGTGTAACGATTACATACCAATGGTTTCAAGAGGGAAACATGGAATACATTAGAGATGCGCATGTTAGCAGGAAGGTCAAGTGCGTAAGCTACAGGGTTAACCCTTCGAAGTATACGAAATGGCCCAACGTATCGGGGTGCCAGTTTTTGTGAGGGAACACGGAGCCGTAGGTTGCGAGAAGACAGCCAGACCCTCTCTCCGACTTGATAGGTAGGTGCAGGAAGGCATCTGCGGTCGGCCTGGAGTTTGTAGTTCTGCATTGCGCGTTGCAAAGAGTTCTGAACCTGCACCCAAGTGGAACGGAGTTCCCTGAGATGTTCCTCCAATGCCGGTATCCCTTGTGGCATGAACGTATCAGGCAATATGGACGGTTGAAAGCCATAGTTCACCAAGAACGGGGATAGCCGGGAAGAGGCATTAATCGCACTATTGTGGGCAAACTCCGACCAGGGTAGCAGATCAGACCAGTTGTTCTGGTGGTCAGAAATGTAGCAACGCAGAAACTGTTCCAGTGTTTGGTTAGCTCGTTCCGCGGCACCATTGGATTGCGGGTGGTAGGCAGAGGAGAAGGAAAGCTGAATTCCCATTTGTGTACAAAAAGCTCTCCAAAATCTGGACACAAACTGGCTACCCCTATCTGAGATTATCACTTTGGGTAACCCATGCAAACGAAAGACCTCCCGAGCAAAAATTGTTGCAAGTTCCTGAGAAGTTGGTAGTTTTTTCAAGGGAATGCAATGCGACATCTTTGAGAATCGATCAACAACCATGAGAACGACTGTATTGCCACGGGAGACCGGAAGATCTACGATAAAATCCATGGACAAGTGGGTCCAGGGTCGTTCACCATTAGGTATGGTTTGCAGGAGACCCACTGGAGGGTGTCGTGGGGTTTTATTTTGAGCGCATACAGGACAGGCAGCTACAAAAGCGGTGACATCCGAACGGAGACTAGGCCACCAAAATTGCCGAGAGACGGACCAGATTAATTGTTTTTTGCCTGGATGTCCAGCTGCTTTGGGGTTGTGATAAGTACTTAATAATTTAGTACGGAGATGAATAGGTACAAAACAACGGCCATTAGGTTTCTCTGGAGGAGCATTACTTTGTGCAGCCAGAATCTCCTCACCTAGGTGTGAGGTGAGGCTAGTACGGATGGTGGCCAGTATATGGTCCGGAGGAATCACAGGAGTAGGGGTTATCTCCTCTCTAGATGGAGGGGAGAACTGTCCAGACAAGGCATCAGCCCGAATGTTTTTAGTACCGGGCAAGTAAGAAACCACATAATTGAATCTTGATAGGAAGAGAGCCCATCTAGCTTGCCTGGGGGAAAGTCGCTTAGCTTCGGAAAGATATGTCAGATTCTTGTGGTCTGTGAGGATGAGAATTGGCACTGAAGTACCCTCAAGAAGATGCCTCCATTCTTTGAGAGCTAAAATTATGGCTAGAAGTTCTCTATCACCAATCTGGTAATTGCATTCCGCCGGGTTTAATTTCTTCGAGAAATACCCGCACGGATGCCTGGAGCTCTCTGGGTTAGGACGTTGAGACAGGAGGGCGCCTACTCCTGTCTCAGACGCATCGACCTCAAGAATGAATGGTAAGGCAGGGTTAGGGTGTGCCAGTATAGGAGCAGCAGCAAAGGCGACTTTGAGAGACTCAAAGGCAGAAATGGCCTCCTGTGACCAATGCTCTGGATCAGCATCTCTCCTGGTCATATCCGTGAGTGGTTTAACCAAGGAAGAAAAGTTGCGTATGAACTTCCGATAATAATTGGCGAAGCCAAGAAAACGCTGTATAGAGCGAAGACCCGTAGGTCGAGGCCATTTTAGTACAGCAGAAAGTTTCTCTGGGTCCATAGAGAATCCAGCATCTGAGATAACATAGCCCAAGAATGTGACCTGTTTGCAATTGAACTCACATTTCTCCAATTTACAGAACAGATTATTTTCTCTAAGTCTTTGTAGAACACTAGAAACGTCTGCGTGGTGGTTCTCGAGAGATGTGGAATGGATAAGAATATCATCAAGATAAACCACCACACATTGCTGCAACATATCACGCAGGACGTCATTTATAAATTCCTGAAAAACCGCCGGAGCATTGCAAAGACCAAAGGGCATTACTAGGTATTCGTAATGCCCGCTCCTGGTGTTAAATGCGGTTTTCCATTCGTGGCCCTCTTTTATCCGGACGAGATTATATGCCCCTCTCAGATCAAGTTTAGTGAAGACCGTTGCTCCCTTGAGGCGGTCAAATAACTCTGTGATCAACGGAATGGGGTAGGCATTCTTAATAGTAATGCGATTGAGACCCCTATAGTCGATACAGGGTCTCAACTCACCACTCTTCTTTTTCACAAAGAAAAAGCCGGCCCCGGCAGGAGAAGATGACTTCCGAATGAATCCCTTTGACAACGCATCGGTAACATACTCCTCCATGGCTCTATTCTCTGCTACAGACAGCGGGTAAATCCGGCCACGGGGAGGGTTGGCACCAGGTTGGAGTTCGATACCACAGTCATACGGACGGTGTGGTGGCAGAACGCTAGCTTGACCTTTGTCAAATACATCTTGGAATTCTTGGTACTCAGCGGGTAAGGAAGAGGCAGAAACTGTACCCAAAACTTTGGTTTCCGGAGACAGGAAAATGTGCATTGCTGGGACCAAGATAATATCTCAGATTTGCGCCAATCAATTGTGGGGTTATGCTTCTGTAGCCAAGGGTATCCCAAAACAACCTGGTAGTATGGAGAGGAAATGACCTGGAATTGGATCATCTCATGATGTAGAGCCCCTACAGCCAGAGATATGGGCACGGTTTCCTGGGTCACGAGGGTTGGCTGTATAGGTCGGCCATCGATGGCTTCGAAAGCTAGTGGGGAGTTGCGAGGCTGTAAGGGTATAGAGTGCTCTGATGCAAATGCACAATCTATAAACAAGCCTGCGGCCCCAGAATCAAGAAATGCCCGGGTTTTAATGGATGACTCCGGCCAGGAGAGGATAATAGGCACCAAGGGTTTGTCCTTATTTATCTCTGGGTCTGCAGAAAGACCCCCCAAGATCTGCCCCTGACAGTATCTTGGGTGCGGGCCCTTTACCGGACGAATCGGGCAAAACTTTAATATGTGACCGTGGTGTCCGCAGTATAGGCACAGGCTCTCCCTCCTCCTAAAGGCTCTCTCCTCAACAGAGAGGCGTGAGAAGCCTAACCGCCTCGGCTCCACACCGACAGAGGACTCAGGACCAGGAGGCATGGGAGGTGAGGGAGGTTTGGGTGGGCAGGAAAAGCTCGGTGCCAAACATACTGGAGGCCTCCGCAGGCGCTCCCTGGATGAGGATCTCTCTCGGAGTCTGATGTCAATGAGGGTGACAAATGATATCAGTTCCTCGAGATCTTTAGGTAATTCTCTGGCTGCAATCTCATTTTTCATTACATCGGAGAGCCCCTGTGCAAAGGCAGCCACGAGAATCTCGTTATTCCAGCCACCCTCTGCTGCCATGGTACGGAATTCACTGGCATACTCAACAATAGTTTTCATGCCCTGAGTATTAGACATGAGTTGTTTGGCAGTAGGAGTGAAGCAAGCTGGAATATCAAAAACCCTTTTAAAGGACGCAACAAATTCAGGGTAATTGTAAATGATGGGCCTCTCTGCCTCCCAGAGAGGTTTTGCCCAAGCTAGGGCTTTTTCAGACAGCAAAGAAATCATGAACTGGACTTTGTCGCTGTCAGTAGGAAATGCCTGGGGCAGCATTTCAAGGTATACTTTAACCTGATTTATAAATTCTTTGCACTGAGCTGGGTTGCCCCCAAAATACTGAGGGAGCGGGACAGACCCAGTCATTCCTCTAGCCGCAACAGGTTCGGAGGCTACAACCGGTGCCAGAACAGGAAGTGAGGCAGAGGCGGCCGCAATCGCAGGCTGGTCGGGTTTTGGGTTCAGATGGACATACTGGTCCAAATGGTGGTTCTGCTGGTCCCACCGGGTAAATAGGTTAGGTATAGGTGTATTGCCTGTACCATCTGTATTCATGGCCCTTGCGTAATGTCAGGAACCAGGAACCAGACAGAGACAGATCTAGATGCAAAAACACCTTTATTTAATAAATAACAAAGAAATAACCAAAAGCAAAGTCCAGGAGGCAAGCAGGGGTCAGTCACCAGAGCGGGTAGTCAGACGAGCCAGGATCAGGAGAACGGAGGGCAGCGGAGTCAGGAACAAGGCCAGAGTCAGGAACCAGGAGCAAACAGGAAACACAGGAACAAGGAGACTTCTGGGGGACAGGAAACCACGCAGGGGCAAGGAGGTTCTGGGATTTGCTGCTTAAATAGGCTGAACTGATTAGCAGCAGGGTTGATATTATTCTCAGGTGAGTAACCGTGGCAACATGCTGAAGGAGCTGATCGTTAATTACAGCTGAAACCTCAGACACTGAAAAAGGGAGGGTGGCTGTTTAAAACAGCAGAGAAACCCTGAGAGTCACCAAGAAGGCCGTTCAGTGGCAGTCCCAGCATCGGCAGATCCGCGCGGTGCTGGAAGTAAAGGGGAGTATTAACATTTTCTAAGGGGACTAAGCCACCTCAATGCTGGGTTTAGGAATACATGTTTTGTGTTCCTGACCCTATATCGTTCCATTAAACTTTTTTCAAGCGATGTACTGGTTTTTTTGTTTTTACTTTTTTTTTTTTTTTTAAAGATTTAGTCTGAGAATTTACATTTTTTTTTTTTTTAACCACCCTCTGAATCTAAGCATCAACAAGAACACTCTAAATGTAAAAATAAATAATATTTAAACTAGTATTGCTGAAGGATAGAACTCGCATTGAGACTTGCCTCTAGTTCCAGATCCTCAGGCTCAGTGCTGGAGAGGGGTAAGACCGCAATCTTTGTAATTTTATAAATTTCATGTCCGCCTGGCAGTTTACCAATCAGAGATTTCTGTCGAATGAGCAGAAGCCACCATGGGAGGTCTGAGAGGGAGAAAAGAAATAATAAAAATAATAATAAATGGAAAAGTTAATGAGAACAAATAAAAATAAACCATTTAAATGCTGTAATGCACAAAGAAGGGAAAAAAGGATTCTGACTCAAAATAAATCCTAATTCATGGCCCCTTGCTGCTACGTACTATGGCATTAAAGCCATTTACATTATTTAATTCTGCACTTCTGTTGATTGAAATCAATCACACGGCAAAACTATTATTCTTAGCGGATCTTACACTCCTGACCAGAACCACCGGGGGAAACACAAAGTATTTACTAAACAGGGAATCAAGGTGAGCTTAAAGGGGGATTGTAAACTCAAGGCAGCTCAGCTATTTAGGTGAATACTTCGTAATTAGGGATTGACCGATATTGATTTTTTAGAGCCGATACCGATAATCTGTGAACTTTCAGGCCGATAACTTGCCGATATTCTGTACATTTACCATTTTGAAAAAATAAACTATTTCTAAAGGTAAATGCGCAACATATACATGCCACGTGTAGTGGATGCAGTGTGTTTAGACAGGGGTGTTGTGTGTGTGTGTATATAATGAATGCAGGGTGTGTTTGTGTAGTGTGTATAGTGCATGCAGTGAGTGTGTAGTGTGTATAGTGAATGTAGTGAGTGTTTGTGTACTGTGTATATATAGTGAATGCAGAGTGTGTGTTTGTGTACTGTGTATACAGTGAATGCAGTGTGCGTAAAGTGCGTAAAGTGAATGCAGTGTGTGTGTACTGTGTGTAAAGTGAATGCAGTGTGTGTGTAGTGTGCGTAAAGTGAATGCAGTGTGTGTGTAGTGTGCGTAAAGTGAATGCAGTGTGTGTGTAGTGTGCATAAAGTGAATGCAGTGTGTGTGTAGTGTGCGTAAAGTGAATGCAGTGTGTGTGTAGTGTGCGTAAAGTGAATGCAGTGTGTGTAGTGTGCGTAAAGTGAATGCAGTGTGTGTAGTGTGCGTAAAGTGAGTGCAGTGTGTGTAGTGTGCGTAAAGTGAATGCAGTATGTGCGTAGTGTGCGTAAAAAGAATGCAGTGTGTG